GACTGTCAACACTCTCATTAATAAAATTTTACCTGCGTTTATTAAGGTAAGTCTAGTAAGTCTAGGCTGGTAAGCTTCAGAAAAATAGGATATTCCGATACAACGCAATCAGAACAAAGAGGAGAAAATCAGGGCGGCGCGATCTGTTCCGTTCTGAACAATGATGTGTAAACGATGGCGTCTGCGTAGCGGCTACCCAAGATAGTGGCGCCGCTTAGCGCAGACCCGCGTAAAGCAGAAATGTAACAGGCACATATATCCGATAACAGCTTTAAAACCTTTATTAGAAAGGGTATTTCAATACCAAGTTATATCGCTGTTTCCTGGGTATGCACTGCGCTACGCCATCTTCCTTTCTTCTAGCGAGGCGACTCGCGTATCAGCGCGCAGAGGGAAACAGATGGCAACGCCATCTCCTTTGGGTTCCAGTTGGCTTGAAGTGGAATACCGCCAACAGAACGTGGTCAGGCACAACCGACAAACTATATGGGGAGGTAGAAAAAAATTGTCGACGAAATGGAACCCGGTGATCTCTGAAGACCTCGACTAGTTGAAGAAATATCAAAAGAGTGAGAAAATCCAGGAAACCGTTTTTAAACAAATCGTGTTCAAAGTCCAAATTTGAGAGTGTTACATTTTTTTAAAGTTTATTAATGACTTATGGCGTCGGTGTGGCGCTCAACCATTGAACGCCCAGAGGGAAACAGATCGAGCATTCCTGCATATCTCCTTTATGTTCCGGTCCGCTTGCAGCGATGTACCCTACAACTTTATCTGAGGGTTTCTTGAAGTACTTTTCTAATAAGCCACTTGTGTGATCCTAGATTTTCATTCCAAACTATTGAATGCGCTTCTTTTTTTATTGCACATCTAGTCGAACAAGGAGAAGATCAACCAGCTCGTACAGTCTAAGGCTAAGAATTTCATCAACAAGTACCTGGACGGTATTTCCGGTAACAAGCCGTCCCTGGATGAAAGAATCGAACTAATTACGGTGAGTAAAGCCAACTCGAAGAGAGGGCATCATCACAATAGGGCACTCCGGGGCTCGGTTTGACCGGAAGGGGAAGAAAAATGGGCGCGGGGAGTCCATCCACTGTGTAT